GAGCTCTACGTTTTGACCCACCCCAAATCACTTTACACGAGTCACCAGGTGAAACGCGTTTATTTGATGTATGTGGAAGACTTCTCGAAAAGCAACTAGGGTGGCTTAAGCATGGCAGAGTAAGACGAAAGGAGGTAGTGCATTATGCAAATGCTGAAAACCCCCAACAATGCCATATTAGAATGTACAAGAAGTACCATCACTCTGCCCACCCGAGGGAAAACAAAAAGCATTCTACATGCAACTCCGGCGTAAATACGAAAAATCCGACAAGATATGGTTTACTAAGCAGCCGATGGATCACAATTGCGAGATTTATTCCGATCTGCTGGAATCGTTGGAAACTTTACAAACCATAGTTTACGTGCTACAGCTGCGACCAGTCTTTATGAGCATATTGTTGATGAGCAACTCATAATGGAACGAACGGGACACCGCTCAGTAGAAGGTAACTAGACTTGAACAATATTAATATATTGCTATCACTGTAAACTAACTTCACTAAAGAAAGTTTAAATAAATGCATGGTCACATGAAAAACTTTAAAAATTTAAATTATTTTATCAATAACACTGAACCAGGAGAAAACAAAAAGTGATATTTTGAATGGTACCGCAGCTGCTACAACCTCCAAGCAAGTAAACGTCGACCTTGATGAATTTCCCGACACAGTCATCTCCTGCGGATGTTGGAATCCATAAACTAAACACCCGAGACACTGGAGTTTACAACAATTGCGTGTTTACTATTACCGGAAATATCTGATCAATTATAGCAGTATTATGTGTCAACATAATATTTGATTGAAAACAATAAATATGCAACAAGCGTTTAACCTGTTTGTGTAATTTATCAGGAGATAGGTCGTGATAACATCCCTCGGCTTCGCCAAGTGATGATATCACGACCGTACCAGCGGAGTGTCATTTCGAGGCATGATATCGGAAATCATGCCGAGAGTATAACTGGTCGAATAATATCACCCATTCCTTTCAAATATCGCCTGAGTTGGAGGTTCTTATTAAAAAAACAACAACCTCAAAGTCTATTGTTATTTTGCGTATGAGGTGTATATTTTATTATATTATATTACACGATCCTTTTATTCTATGACAATCATGACAAATACTTACTAAGCTGTACAGTTGCACACCCAACCCAACGCCTAAGATGAATACACAAATTGCTGTGGCTGTTCTATAATACTTCATTTTACCGTGTTAGGGAGTTCATACGACGTATCTGTGAAATAAACATATTGATACACTGAATATCCAGATAGAATAAAATAAGATATTCATGTTGTTGTTAGTTGCTATATATATTCTTAAAGCAATACCACAAATATACATCCTTACACCTACATCGATATCACAATCTACATAATTACACCTATATCGATACCGCAATCTACATCATTCCACCTATAGCGATACCGCAATCTACATCGTTACACCTATAGCAATACCACAATCTACATCATTACACCTATAGCAATACCACAATGTACATCATTCCACCTATAGCGATACTACAATCTACATCATTACACCAATAGCAATACCACAATCTA